TCCTCCTAGTTGTAGAATTTCCACTCAGCCAGCCTTCCTGTGGTTCTGGATGATGTCCGTTCCGTCTTTTAGGTGTAATTTGAATTGGTTTTTCGAGGCAGCAATCTCCGGCGTTAACCTATGCCGCCATCTTGGTTTCCGATGATGTCCGTTTTATCTTTTCGTTGTATTTTTGAAGTGGTTGTGCAAGGCAGCAATTTCTGGTGTTTACCTTTGCTGCCATCTTGGTTTCTCTAAGGTGTTTCTTCTTTGTGTTTAAAATAATGCTGGGGGAAATAAACTTGTACTTTTATCTTTGGGAAAAATATATTTCTGATAACTTCTTTAGGTACTTTCTTTAAAAAGACATTATTGAGTGGAAAATTATAAACATTTTCAAGGCTCTTGATACAAATTACCAAAATGCCCTCAAGAATGTGGCACTGATGTTCACTCTTATCAGAAACAAATGAGAGAGTCCTGATGTCTCTGAAAACAATGCATATTATCAAATTTTTGGCAATTATCTTTTAATGACAAAATTAAAAGGTTTAAAACTAAACCAATGACTTCAGAGGAAAAAAACACAAACATTCACTAATACTTTACCTTCTTCAGTTGATTTTTTTTAATTCTTTCAACAGGAAGAGGTTTACCATCATGGAAGTTGGTAAGAATTACTGCAATGGCTGTAAGAGTTTTGCCCTTAAAATGTTTCAAAAAGACAAATGGTCAGATTCTAAAATCCAGTTGATGAGAGAACATTCCAAAACCAATTTAAAATCAATTAATTAAATATCAAACACCATTCAAAGCCACAGAAGTGTACTGATTATTATATTAGATAATATACATATTAATTAAAAGTGTCATTAAGAAATACTTTCCCAAAGTGCATTGTTAGAAATTATTAAATTATTTACTCATAAAATTCTATAAACAATTCTGAGAAATGTGGTTTTATTAAATGACTGCTGTTCTAGGAGTTTACATTTAACCCTAAACTAATAACTTTATCATGAAACTACTTTTGCTTGCTATATAATTCCAAGCTAATTTGAAATTATTAGTCATTCCATTATACACATAAGGTAATCATTTTATTAAATTTCATTTAAATATAATTCCAGCACTTAAAAGCTATAAAGAACATGATATATCTTGTAAGTTTTTTTTAAATAAAAACATGCAATTTTTGATTTTTGCCATAACTGAATTTATAATTAGCAACACAGAAACAAATCTGGGAATTTCAAGGCAGTGTAAGGTAGCAATTTTCAAAGTGTGATGCACACAGGCCCTAGAGGACGCCAGGATCCTTTCAAGAGTTATGTGCAATCAAAACTATTTTCATAATACTTCTAAGACCTTATTTGTGTTAACATCTGTAAGAATGCCTCAAAAAGCAATGGTGGGCAAAATTGCTAGTGCCTTAGCATAAAACAAAACAGGTGACACTACTTTCTAATAGTGGTTATTATATTAACTGCCACTCATAATAAGAAAAAGTAAATGCCAGTTTCACTTTAAGAATGTTAAAAATGTTCTTAATGAAGCAGTACACATTAATTTTATTAAATGTTGCCTCCTAAGTACATATCTTTAAAATATCCTGTATAACAATATGGGAAGTACACATAAAATACTTCTTTTGATACCAAAATATGAGGGCTATCTAAGGGAAAAATCACTGAGATTAACCACGATGCATCATCTCACATCATCACTTTTTTATGCATCACTAATTTTACATAAAAGAATAACCAACAGCTAGTTATTCATGACAAAGTGGCAGACATTTACTTGAAAAATGAACAAAGTGAGTCTATCGTCCTCTAGGGAAACAATTGATAGCATCTGTTGTTAATGATAAAACTTCAACTTTCAGGAAAAAATCAGAATGTTAGAAAACTCGTATCCGATACTATGGGAATAGAAGCTTTCCAAAATGCAAATGCCTAATAAGATCAGCAGTATTACCAATGAATTGAAATTGTTGATATAATATAATGAAATGCATTGACATTTGGCAGATCTGTATAACTCAGTGAATGATTTTATAAAATGCCTGATGTTATAAAATCATGCATGGGTAAAATATGCATTCAATATGTAAGCTACCCCAATGGATTTTAATAGAGTATAAAAAGTTCACTGATATGACTTTTAAGTTCCACATTATAACTACAATATGTAATGAACTAATACTTGCTTGATTTTTTCATTGTATCAAAGAAGACTATATTTACCTGAAAAGGCTATTAAAACACTGCTCTCTTTCCAACTACAAATCTATGTAAGGATTAAGTTTCTTTACACATTTTAACCAAAACATATATCACAATGGACTGAATGATAAACCAGATTCAGATGTCATCTATTAGCCCAGACATTAAAATGATTTGCAAAATTAAATGTGAGTTTTCTTATCAAAATTGCTTTTGTTTTGAATACTTTTCATTAAAAAAATATGCTATTCATGTTAACAAGTTTGTTAACTGTTATTTTTCAGTTAATAATTTTAAAAAATTTAATAGTATAAATTAAAATTAATAGTATAAATATTTATAGATATAATAATAGACATAACCCACAAAAACAAAAGCTCTTTGGGCCACTCAAGAATTTTTTAGTATAAAGTGTCACTGAGACCAAAAATATAAAAACTGCTGATGTAAGGAATCATAAATATACATTTAAGTACTCTGCATATCACATTTCTGATATACTACAAATAATTTTACATAACACTGTTGTCTTTCCTTTTAAAAAATTTTGAGAAAAACATATTAATATCATTACACTAATTATTTTAATTGTATCTTAAGAGTACAAAAACAAAAAGCTTACCATTATTTTAACTGAAAATCATAGGAAAAAACTGTGTTCTACACTGGAGGTGAAACATCATCCCAAACTGGCATTAATATACTAGAAGCCCGGTGCACAAAAATTTGTGCACTCGGCGGGGGGGATGGGGGGTCCCTCAGCCCGGTCTGTGCCCTCTCGCAGTCTGGGACCCCTAAGGAGATAACGACCTGCTGGCTTAGGCCTGCTCCCGGGTGGCAGAGGGCAGGCCCAATCCCTAGGTGCAGCCCCTGGTCGGGCTCAGAGCAGGGCCGATTGGGGAGTTGGGGCACCACCCCTGTCATGCACAGAGCAGGGCGGATCAGGAGGTTGTAATGCCAGCCTCAGTCACGCTCAGGGTAGGGCCGATTGGGGGGTTGGGGCACCGCCCCCTGTCACACTCGAGGCAGGGTCAATGGGCAGGTTAT